CGAAAACAATGTGGAGAATCTCCGGCCAGGCCTGCAGCGTGGATGATGGGCTTCTATTTATAACCATAGAGCAACTGCACCTCTCTGGGCCTGGGCCGGACCTCCGGGGAAACTCTGGCAGGCCTCAAAGCCAGACCACAGAGGGGCCAGCAAAGGAAGGGCAGAGGTGGCTGAAGGGCAGGGAGCAGCTGGTCCCACAGGCTCAGACCATCCCCATTTGGCCCCACAAGCCCCCATCTATGCAGGGTTTATGCTAGTGAGAGCTGGACAGACCCAGCCTCTGCCCAGCCCTCCCTCCCTGGGCTGCAGTGCAGGCAGACCAGGATGGCAAATACTAACCAGGCTGGAGGGTGCAGAGCCAAGGCAAGTAACTGCATGGTGTCAGGGTATCTGCTGTTTATGTTCAGGGCAGTCTCATTTTCGGGACAGTCAGTGGAGAGGTAGAGCGCAGCAGTCCCCGGCACAAGCAGGTGGCACTTCTTCTGAAACAACTGATACCGTGTTTTAGAACCGAGACATTCAGTGGTAGCCAGCCCAGGCCCGGTGGGAGCAGGAGGGAGGCCAAGCCCTGTCCCAAGGCTGCTCCACACTCATCTTGTGTGACCTAGGCAAACTGCTTCCTTTCTGCCCCATTTTCTCAACTAAAAGATGTGGGTTAGTATCTAGCTCGAAAGGTGAAATGTGGAAATGTTGGTACGTACTTAGGACAGGCAGCTCCTGGCACGTTGTAAGCATTCAACCTATCAGAACTACTATGATCAAGTAGAAAGAGGAACCCAAGCTGGAAACAACTCATAGGAAGATCAGTTCTGGGGACCCTAAAGCCAAGGGAAAAGGTTCCATGGCAGAAATATTTAGAGAATGGCAGATTATTCTATCTTACTGATTTACAAACTACACTTGCATATTAAAGGTTCAAAAAAGTCCTCTAATGAATGGATATGTTAAGTTTTGTTCAGATCTATTAAATACTGTTGAGTCCAGTCTTTTTCTAAACTTACTTGGCTGTGGGGTTCTGCCCAGGGGTCCTCAAACTTTTTAAACAGGGGGCCAGTTCACTGTCCCTCAGACCATTGGAGGGCCGGACTGCAGGCCCCGGGATGAGTGGGCTGCTAAGCAGGACAGACAGCAGCGGCAAAAACCCGGCAGGCCAGATAAATGTCCTAGGTGGGCCGTGTGTTGCCTACAGGCCGAAGTTTGAGGACACCTGGTTCTGCCTTTCAAAAACAGCATTAATTTGGGGGCTGATATAATCTCAACCCAATTGCTTCTTTCCCCAAAAAGAAGTGAAGAGGGATGAGGACACAGGAGGGAGACTGACCCCACAGCGTGGCAGACCTGCCTCCCGGCCTTCCCACCAGCTCACTTGAAGTCAGGCCGTCTGTTAGAATCAGCGAGCTGATGAAATAGGAGAAAAAGGAAAGACTGAGAGGACCAGCCTCAGAGGATGCCAGGTAGCACCCTCCTCCCATTACATGTTAATTCTAAATAAACGACTAAGTGGCAGGCCAGAGAGCAAGTGGGCTGGGCTGCTGGCAGGTGGCGGTGGGGAGGCCTTTCCTCCCACTGGTCAGGGCACCTCACGGAGAGTTCGGGAGGGTCTGACCCACAAGGAGGTGACCAGGCCCATTCACACTTTCACAGTTTTTCTTTTCTTTCAGCAGGCTCCCAGAGAACAGCTTAAATTTAAACCTGTGTCTCTTTTCAACATTTCAGATAAAATCCCGTATCCACGCAAAATAAACATGTCCATGGCAGTTAGTGCCATATTTTTCAGATGGCTCCTGTATGGAGGCCAGTTATGATTATTATTGCTATTAAAGGACTTCTCAACATGGGCTCCACAGACTGAGTACCTTGGACTCACCTGCTTATTAAAAACCCAGATTCAAGGGCCCAACTCAGCTCTGCTGAATCAGTCTCTGATTAAAACTTAAAAAGTCCTGTGTTAGTGCCAGGTCCCCCAGCAGCAGTGTGGCCCAGTGTTTGATAAGAGCCTAACAGCCTGGGAGAAGAGCGACTGTCTGGCAAACCAGATGAGGTCAAGTGGGAATCACCTTAGGTCTGTTATACCTGGACGTCAGGCGAGATCCTGTAAGCAAGCCTAACAGTTATAACTGAGAATGCAGTTGTGCTGAGTGCTTTCCGCACATCATCTCATTTAGTCTGGGCACTGCACCGCCTAGCCTGACAGGTAGTCCAATTTCCACTTTATGACCGAGGGAAAAAATCCTCAAGACATGACAAGGCCAAGTGCCTTGTCTGGTTACAGAGCCAGTGAGGACTAGGGTCAGGTCAGCTTGCACGTCCACTCCCTTTGAGTAATGCTGGAGACCTGACCTAGAAACTTCCCTGAAGGCTGCCAGACACAGAAAGCAAGCCGAAAGCAAGCCCTATTAACACGCACAGGGACAGGCAGGATGGTGCTGAGGACACCAGCTCAGCCACATCAGTATGGAAGGGGACCTGTGCTTTTGCTGGGTGAGAGGATGGGTGGGAATCACTGTGCACTTGGGGTTCCACCTGTCCCTGAGCAGCCCAACCTGCGGCCTGTCACCGTGTTACCATCTGAAGCACCAATTATGACTATATGACATTTACACCTAGAAAAATTCAAGGAAAACACAATCTAGTTTAACTCTGCCTCTCCCCTCTCCCTCATTACACAAAGCAGGAATACAAATAGACTGTGCCTGCCTGCCCTGCTCCAGGAGAGTGGCCTGGCTGTCCTCCTGGGCCTACACAGTAGCTGTGGCCCCATCTTTGCACAGAGACACGATCTCTACACTATCATCTGGGCTCTTTGTTCCATCCTCCCTGGGTAGGCGGGACCTTCTGGGCACTCCCAGACCAATGTCCCTGCTGTTTGGGTTCAGGGGATACAGGCTGCCTGACTGAGCTGACCTCTGCCACCTACCACTGTAATTGATCCCAAAAAAGGAATGAGGGGTTCATATATCAATAACACATTCCTCTGGGGCCTCTATCCCAGCAGCAAGTGGTGGGGTCGTTATCTGGCCAAGCACAGCTGATATGGCCTTTTGGAGAGATGTCACATGTCACCTCAATGGAGGATTAGTGTAAAGAATTTGAGGTCAAGGGTTAGGCTGAACCAGCTTCTATTTATAAAAAGGAGTGTTGAGAGAAACAGAGGGTAGGCGAGGACCAGCCCAGCCTGGGTGCTGGCTGGCCAGATGACATGCCCAGTATAGACTGGAGCCCATATCACCTCCAGCTATATCACTTCCTTCAAACTAGGCCTCTGCCATGAGCTTTTCCCATCAGAATCTGAGTCCCTTGTCTTAAGATGGCCCCAGTGTGCAAACTAATAGCCCCATGACTGGCTTGTTTGGGCCCAGACCCCTGCTTTGGGGCTGAGGGGGCCTCCTGTGGGTGCGGGATGGAGAAGGTGGGAGGCTCTTCAGTTCTGCAACAACCAAAAAAGCCCACACATTAAATTGTTCAAGTCCCCGGTTCTTTGCAAGAGGCAGAGCCCCTAAATAATGGAAAGCATATCAGGCGTCCTCAAACTAAGGCCCGAGGGCCACATGTGCCCCACCTATGACATTTATCCAGCCCGCCGGGTGTTTTTGCCACCACTGCCTGTCCTGCTTAGCAGCCAACTCATCTCGGGGCCCGCAGTTCAGCCCTCCAACTGTCTGAGGGACAGTGAACTGGCCCCCTGTTTAAAAAAGTTTGAGGACCCCTGGCATAGACAGTCCCTTCCACAGAGAACAGCATGACAGTCACCCATAGACACCTGCAGATCTAGTTCCAGCTCTCAGCTCTGCTGACAGTTGGCTTGGGCAGGGTTCCAACAGTGCCACACTAAGAGATTTCATTGACCATAAAGCCAAGTGGGTGTCCACTGAGTCAGAATCTCAAGGTCGAGCCTGTGAACCTATCCCTACAGAAACCACAGGGGAAGCTGGGGCAGGGCAGAGTGGGGACCACCAGAGCAGGCTGTGGCATAGTGGAGACCCCCTGTTGCCCACCCTCGCCCAATAAGGCAATAGAACCAAGGAGGTCATACTGGCTGTAACATGATAAATCAATATCATAAGTCGAACTTTTATTAAAACATTTTAAAATGCACCTTGCCAATATGTAAAACTAAAAACCAGTCCCTTTCCAATGCTCCCTGTTAATGACCTAAGCCCAAGGCCCTATCATAGTCTGGGCCTGAGAGGTAGGTTCTTACACCTACTTGTGATGTGAGGTGGTCCTTGTATGAAAAATATGCTGAGGCCGGAAAGATACTGCAATGAAGAGAAATAAGCACTTTAATGAAGCTGAAATTACAATCCCTGGGTGATGCTAGCAAATACTGTTGTCAAGTCCAGCATCAAACTGCCAGGGGTATCTGGCAAGAGCAATGTCTCTGTAACTCCTGGGTATACCCAAGGGCTATCTGCACCATGGCTAACAGTGGGCAGGGGTGGCCACCAGCATCACTGCCACACACTAGAAATAAAAGCTGTCTTCTCAATCCCCTGTTCACTTCCTCTTCAAGGTAGGACACACAGTACCCATGAGGACATTGAGCTGAGCTGATGAGGTCATTCAAAGGGCAGCATACCGTGGGGCACTCGGGTGATGCCATCCTGGTCTGCCCGCTGGCTAATCCTGACTATGCTACAAGGTGCTACCACCCCTTCCGAAATTCAACTGATGCCTGCATGAGGGAGTGCCTATACCTTTACCTAGTCACAGAGTGGGCCCTTTGGCGGTCCTGATGTACAACAGCAAAAAAGACAAGTTATGACCTGAAGAAGGGTGACCCGCTAACACTCTGCCTCTTCCCTGTGTGGAGGGCTCTGGGTGCCACACAAGACCAGGGCTGGTTCTATGCCCCCCCCACCTTTTTTAATCCAATATCCTATGCGGGCTACTTCTGATGACATCCTTGAAGACACACTGCTGGCTAACAAGAGGCTCTGAGAATGGGGAAACTTCTATCCTTGGCTGTGACCCGAAAAAGCCCAGATATGTTCTGTATGGATACAGACCAAACAGTTTAATAGTGGGGAGTGGGAGGAAACCCAACATGAAATATGAAACAAAACAAAACAAGCAAGCAAACATCCCTTGAGTTTTAGTTTCTGTTGTTTCTTTCTGTGCGTTTCAATCATAACGTCCATCTTAACAGGCTGCTCTGGTGTCAGTTGGTGAAGCAGTTCTCCCAGGAACAGGAGGAGGGCTGGTACCCACTCAGCTTCTCCAGCCACCAAAGCCCTGGACTGACCTGCAAGGAAGCACCAGAATAGGTGGAATCAGCTTCTGCTCTGATGAGGAAGGGCCTCCCAGAGGTCAGGACATGGAATTTTAACCCTTTGACTGCAGAGCGCTCAGAAACTACAACAGCCTACAGGCATTGTTACACCAAATGAACATCTTATTTGAAGGCTTGTTCACAGTCAAAAGGTTAAAGCTCTAAATAGAAGTAAGAGGGAGGATCAACACACAAGACTTGGTAAGGGCTGAAGCCCAGTGGTCAACACGAAGCTTGAGGTAGGAACAGAGAAGTGAGGAGAAACAGTGCCTAAGTCCTGCCTGCCAAGCCTTCACCTGCTGGCAGGCATGTTCTTCTCTGAGTTGTGCCCTTTAAGAAGGTAAGATCTGGCACTCCCTGACACATTCCTACAGAGACCAGCAAGTCCACAAAACCCCAAACCTGCTGCTGAGCCCCCAGGCTTCTACGACAAGCCCCCAAACAGAAAAAACGCAAACAGAATGCACAAACCCAGCAAGAATTACTATGTCAATAGTTTTCACATACCATATACTCTTCCATCTTTATTTAGTGCTTTTAATTAAAATCAGACATAAAGAGGGAGATAGATACTTACGAGTTATTTGATCCAAAGCTGAATCCTGAAAAGCAGATAAAAAAGGCTGAGTTAAAACACATATACCTGGTGGACAGAGGCCTCCTGGCTCAGGGCTTTACCCCCAGGAAAAGCCCTTTTCTCCCCTACCCGTTGTAGGACAGCAGGAAGGGACATGTTAACTCCAGAGTGGAACCACTGAAAGAAAGCAGGAAAGGTCCTTGCTACTTCAGGGTGTGTCTCTCCTGCTGAGCCTGGCTATAGGCAGAGGGTCTTGGGCACAGCCCCTCTCCCTTAGTTGCACTGGACCATGCAGATCCATTTCATTGGGAAAACTTGCTTTTTCTCTAGTTTTCTGTCCACTTGCTATCTCTCTCTATTATTTATTTTTTTTGAGACCGAGTCTCACTTTGTCATCCCCAATAGAGTATCATGGCATCACAGCTCATAGCAACCTCAAATCCTTGGGCTTAAGTGACTCTCTTGTCTCAGCCTCTCTAGTAGCTGGGACTACAGGCACCCACCACAACACCTGGCTATTTTTAGAGACAGTGTCTCCTGCTCAGTCTGGTCTCGAACCTGTGAGCTCAGGCAATCCACCTGCCTTGGCTTCCCAGAGTACTAGGATTACAGGTGTGAGCCACCACGCCCAGCCTGCTATCTCTTCTTTTTGACAGCCAGAGAAATTCTGGTACTAACTGCGTACCTCTGGGCACCTTGCTTAGCTCCCTGGAGTTTCTGTTTCTTCATTTTTAAAACAACAATGATGCCTAAGTTCTGTGCCTCGTGAGTTTGTTGCAAGGAAAACTGGAGCATACATACTCTGCGATCAGAAGCAACAGAATGTAAAATAAAAGCAAGGCATTTTGTCAAGTTTCTGCATCTTGTTTTTGAGTTTGTTGAGTTGGATTTTTAAACCAAGACCTAGTAAAACTACTATTGGGGGGCTCTCAAATCAAGTCAATAATTTGTCAGGTAAGAATTGGTATAATGATGAAGTCTAAAACCTGAAAACATTTTGTTTTTCAACCACTTTCAGCTTCTAAACTACGCAAATGAACAGGTAAAACATGTTGACTGTTTTGGGGGAGAAGACAGAAGGGTCCACCGTGTCTGTGAGGGAAGGTGTGGGAAGACATGAGGCCACCTACCTCCCGTGCCTGATCCAAAACCAGAGAATCCGCCACTCTGGGTCCCAAAACCAGAAGTCTGCTGGGATAGTGACCCAAAAGTAGGGGCGTTCTGACTCGCGAGGGTGCCAAAGGACGTGGTATTGCCGCTGCTCCCGAACCTGGGTGCCAGTGAAACATGTTAGTCTCTACATGAAATGAGAGACAACACATCAACTGGCTCACTTTCCTTGAAACTTTCCAGCATCTTTCATGGAGATGTACAGTTTGAATAAACAGATTTTTTTTGAGACAGAGTCTCACTATATCACCCTTGGTAGAGAGTGATGGTGTCACAGCTCACAGCAACCTCCAACTCATGGGCTTAAGTGATTCTCTTGCCTCAGCCTCCCAAGTAGCTGGGACTACAGGTGCCCACCACAACGTCTGGCTATTTTTTGGTTGCAGTTGTCATTGTTATTTGGCAGGCCTGGGCTGGATTTGAACCCGGCAGCTCTGGTGTATGTGGCTGGCGCTCTAGCTGCTGAGCTACAGGAGCCGAGCCAAATAAACAGATTTTTGTTTATTTTCAAGACAAAGATAATGTCATCTCGGCAAGACTCATATCCCAAATACCTTTACAATACCTCAAACAAATCATCTCCCTCACCCCTGGCTTCCAGCTTTATACATCTTGAGCCCAATACTGCGGTGAGAACCACTTTCAGGCAGTAATACCTCCTCTGAACCAGACACTTTGGAGTCCCATTACCATATACATTTTACTGGGATTTTGTGGTGGCAAAGGCTGTTTTTTTCCTTGGGGTTTGGGCACAGATTGAAGTTGTGCTCTTAAGGGACTCCTTGAGACACAACCCCTCCTTGTCAAGCAGGGTTACGAACAGGCAATACGAGCAGCTTTGACAGCTGGGTGGTCGCCAAGCCTCTCCCCACAGGGACTGTGGAACTGAACACCCACTCTGGTGGCTGAAGGTGGGCAGGGACACAGGAGGACAATGGGTCAAGGACAATGGGTCTAAGGCAAACCAACCCCACGAGGAAAGAATTGGTAAAAACGACTGATCTAGAACTTGCTAAGAAGTGAGCACACAGGGGCAGTCCTGGCTATGAAGGAGTCAAAGTGGGGTTGTTTTCCTTCCTTTAACCCCACCCGGGCAACAGGAGTTCTGATGACCAGGACTCTATAGTCAGGGGCAGCAACACAGCTGATGTCTACCCAAGTAGCAGGCAGAGCCTAGCGTGAAAGAAACAGTCTCGCGTAGAGAGGAGCAGGAATCTCAAGGGACTTATTTGCCAACATCACAGGAGGGGGCCTTTAGCTTATGGTCAAGAATTTGGAAAATGCAAGAATATTCTTTTTAGAACAAGAGTACTGGGCCCCAGGGCTCCTCGGGTGGTACCAGCTGTTGGGTTTCCCCAGGTCCCTCCTCAGGGGGCTTACCCGAACCCTCCTGCGCTGGCGGCTGCAGTCCCCTCTCCGAACACTTTGCCTCCCGTCGAGCCCAGAGGGCTTGTAAAGGCTGGGGCTGAACCGAATGCTGGCACCCCTCCAAACCCAGGGGATCCCCCAAAAGTAGGAGGGCTGCCAAACACTGGAGCAGCACCGAAGCCACCTGAGCAAAACAGAGGCAAGCAAAGAGGGACGGGGGAGGGAGGGGACAGAAGAGGGGACGTTGAGTATGAGAAACCAAATCAAAGCAGGAAGGAAAGAAAGGAAAAGAGGACGTTAGAAATTCAAAACTATAATAAAGGGCAACACCCTTCTAGCAACAAAATAATTAAAACTAAAAACACTACCCCTCCCCCCAAGCAAACCACCTCCCTCCATTAGCAGAGGGCTGTGGGGTCCTGCAGGCCCCTCATTGGATGTGGATGTGCCTGAACCCCTTCTAGAGGCAGGCTGGGCACACCAGACCACCGCCAAGAGCCCACTCCCAGGCTCTCTGAGATAGTCCGAGATTCCTCATTGAAAAACCATTCTTAAGTTCTCCAATCCCTACAGAGCTGTCAGAAGATGACAGATTTTATTACTTATTGGCACAAAGCAAGCCATTTATAGAGCTTTATGGAAACCCAAATTATAAAATCAGAGGCTCAAAACCCCTCTCAGGAAGAATCCCTGAATTGGGCCACAACAGAGATGGAGACGTGCAGGTTGGCACAGAGCCAGGTGCTTTTTATTTATTTACAGCCTGAGGCCTGTACATTTCTCACCAGAGTCCCTCTCTTGATGCAGCGAATTTTTAAAAATGCTTTCTTTCTGCAGTCTGGGACTATTTCTCAGTAAAACGCACACTGAATTTCTTCTGGGGAAGGCGGCTGTACAAATCTAATCAAGTAAGAAGCCAGCTGTGAGGACAGCCTCAGATTCCAGACGCCTCTGTAAGTGGCTGGCACTGCTGTGTGGTGGACCTGAGCTGGCTGGAGGGCAACACACACTGGGCAGCCATGTGAAAAAGGGTCAGGCCATGCACAAGGCAGTCCCCTTTGATTGGTGGTGATGCCCAGCAGGCAGCAGATGAAACATCCTCCCCTGAGCTCTCCCTCCTGCTCCTGATGGGGTTTTATCTGAAACAAGCGCTGGCCTATGAATTACACGCTAGGCGGAGTAATGGTGGCCTGGTGACAACTGAGAGATCATCAGCCTAAGAAGCCAGGCACATTATTCTCTCCCCTTTCAGAAAAGGAATCTGTTACTTGAGGGATGAACCTGGCCTTCGTATAAATATCACCACTCCACAAGTTTCAGCTACCTCCATCAGGAAAAAATCAAATACTGGGTATGGAAAGCTATTAACTGAATTCCTTAGTTAACTGTTATTTCATAATTCAATTATGAGCTTATTTACCATTTAACAGTGGCTACACAACTGACAAGATACTTTCTGCTAAGGCTCATGCTTGGGTTAACGTTCTGTACTTTTTTTTTTTTTTTTGAGACAGAGCCTCAAGCTGTCCCCCTGGGTAGGAGTGCTGTGGCATCACAGTTCACAGCAACCTCCAAATCCCGGGCTCAAGCGAGTCTCCTGCCTTCGCCTCCCAAGTAGCTGGGACCACAGGCGCCCACCCAACGCCTGGCTATTTTTTGGTTGCAGCCATCATTGTTTGGCGGGCCTGGGCTGGATTCGAACCTGCCACCTTAGGTGTATGTGGCTGGCGCCTTAGCCACTTGAGCCACAGGTGCTGAGCCAATGTTCTGTACTTTGCAACAGGGGTCCTCAAACTTTTTAAACAGAGGTCCAGATCACTGTCCCTGAGACCGTTGGAGGGCTGGATTGCAGGCCCCAGGACGAGTTGGCTAAGAAAGACAGGCAGCAGTGGCAAAACACTTGGCGGGCTGGATAAATGTCTTAGGTGGGCCACATGTGGCCCGTGGGCTGTAGGTTGAGAATACCTGCTTTACAACCTTGAGTGAAATCCCAAGCCATGATAATGACGACAATTGGTGTTACAAATATGACAGACTGGAAAAAATAATGCTAAAAAAAATGCTCAGAAAGATCAAGTCCTGCGGCTCGGCACCTGTGGCTCAAGTGGCTAAGGTGCCAGCCACATACATCTTAGGTGGCAGGTTCAAATCCAGCCTGGGCCTGCCAAACAACAACAACGGCTGCAACCAAAAAATAGCCGGGCATTGTGGCGGGCGCCTGTGGTCTCAGCTACTTGGGAGGCTGAGGTAGGAGACTCACTTGAGCCTAGGGTTTGGAAGTTGCTGTGAGCTGTGATGCCAAAGCACTCTACCCAGGGGGACAGCTTGAGGCTCTGTCTCAAAAAAAAGATCAAGTCCTGGGTATGGAAAGCTGCCAGCTGAATCCCTTAGTTAACTGTTTCTCTGTGATTCAAGTCTATGCTTATTTACCATTTAAAAGAGGTTGCACAACTGAGAAGGTACTTTTTGCTAAGGCTCATGTTTGGGTTAACATTCTGCATTTTAAAACCTTGAGTGAAATTCCAAGCCATGATAATGGAGACTGTTGGGTTACAAATATAACAGACTGGAAAAAAAAGTGCTAAAAAACCCCTGTGGTTGAATTATTTAAGACAGATCCCAGATCTAGTTACACTTTCTTCCTAGACACACAGGGCTTTATCTAGTGCCTCGTATTCAATATTGTTTAGACTTCTTGGTGGAAGGTGGGTGAAAAATGAGAAGTCACAATGATCCAGAAAATTAAGTGACAGGGGAGGGGAACAGATTAACACTCCCTGTGCCCCTTAGCCACCCACAGGGAAAATAACCCCAAACAACCTAGGCTATAGCCAAATATAGTAAGAAGAAAAGTCCCTTTGGCATTAGTTTTGGAGGTAGGCAACTCATTCCTGGTGGCAGAAGAGGTTCAATTTTATTAGCTGCCATACTTATATGCTTTTCTTCTCTAGAAAAAACTGGAAATTTACTAATAAAATTTCTGATTTACTGAGGGCCCACTAGGTACCAGGTAGAAGCTTGAGATGGTTACTGCATAGGTGAGGAAACTGAAGCTCACAGGACATGTCTAATTTTAGCCAGCTGCTATATGCTAGAGCTGGAATTGCAACAAGGTCTGTGTGACTTTTTTTTTTTTAAGAGATAGAATCTCACTTTATCACCCTCAGTAGAGTGCTGTAGCATCACAGCTCACAGCAACCTCCAACTCCTGGGCTTAGGCAATTCTCTTGCCTCAACCTCTGGAGCGGCTGGGACTACAGGTGCCCACCACAGTGCCTGGCTATTTTTTGTTGCAGTTTGGCTGGGGCCGGGTTCGAACCCACTATCCTCGGTACATGCGGCTGGCGCCCTACCCACTGAGCCACAGATGCCGCCCAGGTCTGTGTGACTTAAAAGCCCACCACCCATCTCCACATTGTTCGCCCACCTGCTTTCCGCCATGTCACTAAATCTAACACCTCCAGTGACACAGCAGGGGTGCAGACCCAGCTGCCGTAGGAGGGCAGCAAGACCAATTTCAGCCTGTCCCACCTTATGTCTGCTCCTCAAATAATCACTAGCAGTATTCTTTTCTAATGCAACTTTACTGAAAGGAGGATGGACACTTGTAGAATTTTTCAAAGATCCATACAAATTATCACCTAGGCCAGATGCAGTGGTTCAGGCCTGTAATTCTAGCACTCTGAGACCGAGGTAAATGGATTACTTCAGCTCAGGAGTTGAGACCAGCCTGAGCAAGAGTGAGACCCTATATCTACCAAAAATAGAAAAACTAGCCAGGCGTGCTGGTGGGCACCTGTAGTCCCAGTTACTTGGGAGGCTGAGGCAAGAGGATCACTTGAGCCCAAGAATTTGAAGTTGCTTCGAGCTGTGACACCATGGCATCTACCTAGGGAGACAGAGACTCTGTCTCAAAACAAATAAAAGAAACTATCAACCTAAAATGTCTCTTAAAGCAAGAGATAATCCTGATACCTTCAGCGTCTGCACTGCTTGGGCAGGAAGGCCACTCTTCTACTTAGTGGCCTTTCCTTCTGCTCAGTACGTTAAGGCACCCCCTTCGAGAGGAGCTCTCAGAATCTATACAAGTTCTGCATCATGAGGGCAAGTGCTCTTTCCTCCACTTTTACTCTAATATTCCTGGTTCATTCACCTCATGTACGTAAAAGGTAGTTTTCCTGTAAGAATCATGAATCTAAGGATTCATGGGACAAATAATCAAATAGGAAAAATACTCTGAAAAATGGGAGTATGTATTTTTTCTAAGGCTGAAAAGAAGAGAATGATCAGATTCTTAAATCAACTGAGACATGATCCCAGGATAATAGATGTCTTAACACAATAACTAAGAAAAAGACATGAAGGCTATGTTAACCAGTTGGATGAAAGTATTTCAAATTGTATATAGAAACAGTACACTGTACCCCATGATAGTATTAATGTACACTGCTATGATATAATAAAAAAAAATTATATGTTAAAATCCAAAAAAAAAAAAAAAAAAAAAA